TTTACGTTTTGAGAAGAAAATAATAAAGAAGAATAGTTACATTATCGACACGACGTAGTTGTGGACTACTACTTAGTTCGTACGGCGCCTGTTGGCGCTACGAGCAACCCCCCCGCTTGCCCTCCGATCCCCTCACCTACTCCGCGAATTTTTGACGCCGTGTGTACTAGCAATATAGGAGTATTACATATATGTGTTACACATACACACACACCACACACATATATACGCATCTAGGTTAGGTTAGGTTATTACACTATTTTATTATTTTTGCTTTAAATAAAAAACAATATGAAAGATTTTGGACACGACAATAAATTTTGAATTTATTTTCTTTCTTTGTAACCGACACGACACGATAATAAAGTCTACTGAGACCAACAAACAAGATGTACTTGAATTCACCTTCAAGTTACAATCAAACATCGACACAATAGCTCAACAGTTCGAATTAACAACAAGAGCTAAGAATATTTGACCTTGCCTTGCCCGACACGACAACCGTTTACTGCGACACGACGAATAATATTTGTCAGGAATAAATTGAACACGTCACCATAATTATTACGCTGGCCAAATATATATTTATTTGTTGTCTTTAAATAAGTCTTTAATTAACAAAATAACCACTAAGTCCTCGTGGACAGTTCGACCGTGTTCTTTACACAAATTCGCTCGCGGTACGACAGCTTTCTTGTTACAAGTCTTCGCTAGCGATACGACAGCTTTCTTATTACAAGTTTCCGCTCGCGGTACGACAGCTTCTGCACGACCGTTCGGGTCGCCCGTTACAGAAGTCCGCCTCTGTTCTTTTCGGCACGAGAACACACGTCTTCTCGAATTCTGGAAGACTCTCGAATTCTCGTCTGCCACGCGGTTTCCGCGTGTACGCGTTCGCCCGCTGACGCTGCTGCTAGCAGCGCGCTAATCGTAACCACCGGGAAGTGGCGCCGCACATCGAACAATCTTGCAGCTCGGCCGTCCTGGCCTTCGGACTTCGTCCCGAAGTTCGCCACGCATATAATTTATAATGTTGTTCCCATACATCAACTTTCTTTTTGTTCATTTTTTTTTTTCAGAAACACGGCGGTAAGTATACCTTTGTCTTATGGATAACAACAACGCAAACAATCATCGCATAATTAACTTATAGTTTCACTCTTTTTTTTTCAGGAACTTAACGGTATATATAACTCCAATCGCTAAATATAAACACGTCATAATTAGAAAGTATAACAATGCTAAACTTCATGTCAATTATAAATAGTCAACGCTTAATTAAATTACAATTTTATTTACAGCAGGGTTGTCCCCTTCAGTCTGTCGAACTGGATTAATCGAGCGCTTGATTTTATCAGCGGAGAGAATCGAATTGTACGGGCGCGTTGTTATATTAAATCCTGGGATATCTTGCACAACATAACGATTATTACCCAGGCATTTAGAAATCATATACGGACCTCGATATTTTGGTCTTAATTTAGAATTCTCTCCCGCCTTTATGCTTAAATCTCTAATTAATACATATTCATCCTCGTTATAAACAGAAGGCTTACGTGCATGAGCGTCTCTATATTGTTTA